AAGGCATACTATTAACAAGATTTTGATATTTTTTTATATCAATTTTTATCCATTCTTCTTGAAGTATTTCATATAATATTTATGCATACAGTATATTTTGCAATACAAAAAGCTACATAAAGATCTATGTCGGTATTCAAAAAAATGCCGTGCTATTGTTGTATGCAGTAGATATAGTTTTTAAACTATTATTATAAAAAAATTTTTATAATTTTTGAAAGATCAATATTAATAATTTATTTATTCTTAAAAGAAGTATAAATAGATTGCCATAAAAATTTAAAGTTAATTTAAATAATTTGTTAACGACGTTTGATATTTATGATTTCTGTTAACCGTTGCTTTTGTTTTTCATATATTCGTATTATCACTTTTAATATTTTTTGAACCTTTTTCGAAATATTATATATTGCATTTGAATATCGACGTTAAGCATTGTTATTGATTTAAAGAATTTTTATTACTGTATATGCAAATCCAGATATACTTGATTTCAGTAGCATTAATCAAACAAATTATACTGTTCTTAGTAAAAACAAAATCTAATGGCATTCACAATATTATTTGAACCTGGAAATTATTACATTGAAGTTGATTTACATATTTACAAAACTCGATAAACTAGAAAGAAATATAATGCAAATGGTGTAGATAATAAAGAAAGAACTTATTATTTGAATCATTAATATTAATGAAATCATTCTTTCGTTCTATATAAAAAGGAAAATGCAAACTAATAAACATTCATTACAGTAATAAGGGTGAACAGAATTCGATAACAGTTAATCTAATTATTTGATAGATAATTCTCAAGATCAAACTCTAATTCTTTCTCTTGAACTTCTCCACCGATATATGCTTCAATTGTGGTATAGACAGCAAATAAAATTGTCCACAAATCAGTCCAGAAAAGTAAAAGTGAAATAGGATTGACATCATTTTGCAATTCATAAAAGAAAACATAGAAATCAATCCCACCCAAAATGTACCCTATGATGTTTCCGGACAATGTACCAACTAAACAACTTAAACAGCATCCTATTATCAAATTAGCAAATACAACAATAAGATAAAAATAATTTGCAAATTCGATCATGACTATTATGCCATATATAAATATCGAAATCATCACCGAAATGAATGCTATCATGTAACAAATAGAAAAGTCGGGAAAGCAAAAAAACAAGAAAAATATTAAATTTAAACTTTCAAATAAAATTAAAAAAACAATTGTCTCTTTGCTAAAACCGTTTGATGCATATAAGAATAATGGTGGGAAAACAGCAAAAATTAAGGCCAAAAGTGTGGCGAAAACTATTGCTTTTGATCCATCTGGTGTCATATACGTTACAACAATAGTTGCAGATATTGCCCAAGCAAATGATGACACAACTATTGTCAACTTGTCAAAGCCATATATAGAATATGAGAATAAGGGAGGAAAAATTGATAATATAATAAACGTCTGAAGAGTAGAAAAAATTATTACTATCGATTCATCTCTTGTGCATATATAAATCAGCCATGTAATTATGCTACACGCTACTATTGTACAGTTGAAGGTTATCAAAGTTATCGTAAATTTATCAAGGCCTTGTTTCGTGTAAAAGAATAGTGGCGGAAAAATAAGTGCAGCGAATAGTCCCAAGACTAAGGATATTAACCTTCTGAAAATTCCAAGCTGACGTATTGGTATAAATGCAAATAAAAGTATTGCGGTGACAATGACATAGGGAATATATTCTTTTGTTGGAAAATTAAACATATCAGAAAGGGACAATTTTGCTGATACCATAGGGAACAAATAAGTTAGAAATAATATAATCTTGGATGCTCTTTTGAATAACATTTTTCTTTTTCGAAAAGTAAAATATAGATCATACCAATAACCTGATTAATATATAAAGTGTATGGTGTTGTACAAACCCGGAGACTGCTTGCCGTATTCACAAAGCAATTATTGTAAGACCACAGCTACGTATAGTAATAATCGTCTTATCAAGTACAGTATACAATGTACCGGAGCTGCAAATTTACTGATAACTCGAATTCAGTATGAAGTTTTGGATAAGAATACTTTTACTTGAAGAATTCGAAATATACTGGCCTGAATTTGCTATTCAATATCTGACTATTTCATATGTACTTAAGGCCGAGATGTAATGCTAGGACATTAAATAAGGTATTAAGTATTATGATTTTTATATGATATTTTCTAGTGTCGTGGGCTATCCGGCGAGCCCACAATACTGGTTGTCGCTTTAAGGTTCACAATAAGGTAAGTTTCTAACTCTTGAGGCGTGTTTCCGATTTGGTCGGTCTTCTCACTTTAACTTCTCTACCGACTAGCCTAGAACTTTTCCAATGCCAATTCCCTTGGGCAATCAACCCTTGGTTCTCTCTTGTAGTCTCGTAGACCAAGTTACAAGTCTACTGTGGCACACAAAAAACAAGGTAAGAGTTTATCCTTTAAACGTTATTTTATTTTTATTACTTAAAACGTTAGTCTAACCTGAATTGCGCATGTATTTATACATGCGCCTGTTATTTACATGTTTATATCTGATCGCTATCCTACACTACTTTAGAAATTTCCTCCACTAAACATTCCCACAATAATTTTCCCACCTTAATTTCCCCACAGATTACGACAACAGGGTGACGTAACGTGATATCGCGTTACATGCCTGTGTCGATTTCACCCATAACACTAGTGACATAAAATCAACCAAAGGATACTAACTATCATAGAAAATTAGACCATGTTTATTCTGAATATATCATTAAAATTTACAAAGCCAACTTATAAAATAAAAGTAATTTTTTTGTAGCAAAAATATGTATCATATATACTAATCTTTATGTGGAACTTCTTATGCAAAATAAAGCAGCATTTATTTAGAGTGCAAGAAAAACAGAAGAGTTCTATGATTTACTATCCTCCACTGTCCGTTAAAAACTATGGAAAACCATCTTATTTATATGACTCATTGACGTGTACATGCTATTACCAAATTACAACACCACTCTGCCATCATTGTCACTATTGTTACGCGACGTGCTTCAATGTCGTTCTATTGTTCCCACAACAATATATATGCAAATAGTAAATTTATTAGTTTTGAACATTTATGTTTATGTTTTTTTTTGGAACTTTAACCAAATTCTTAAAAGATAGTGTCGCGGGTCAGGGGTCTATCAGCAGTAACGGCGAAATCCTAGACTTCGCGACACTTCGACAGGGGTATCTGTT